GGGGGGGGGGGGGGGGGGGAAGCAAATAAAGAAGACCGGAATTTTTTGTGAAAAAGAAAAGTTTAAACTTAAAAATAATAAAACAATAAAACAAACAACAGAAATAGGTTTGTTCAACTTGTTGCATATGCTCTTCAAGACAAAGCCACATAAAAACTTTTTTTTTTCTTTTTTTTTTAATAATTTGGACCATTTCTGGATTTATGTGTGTGATCCTTGCGCAGGGCCATGCTAATCTTCTTGCTCTGTATCGTTCCAATTTTAACAGATGTCCCGCAGGACCCACATACAACTTCGGCTGAGGGCAGTGAGGGATGTATTCAAAATTTTCAAATTCCTGATTAATTATTAAAAAAAAAAAACAGAAAAAAAAGAAGAAAATTCAAAAGCCATACCCCTTCAGAGAAGTTTAGAAAAGTTTAGACCCCATTAAACCCCCCCAACCTCATGTCTCCCAACCTCCCATCTGGGTAAACCATCACAAAAGGAAGGGTCAGATTCTGACTGCTCGGTGTGAGAGGAGATCCGGCAAGAAGAACGATTTCTTCTTCATTGAATATTTTGGCACTGTTTCTGGCCGGCCCAAATGCCCAGCCCGCCGGTATGGTCTGTCTAGCTTTTCCAGCCTGGTATAGTCTGTCTAATGTTTTCGAGCCCGGTGCGGTCTGGCATGCCCATCGAGGTAACTCCAGTAACAAAAAAGTTTTCACTTCGGTAAGTTCATGCCACAAGCAATATACATGATATAAGAAGCTTAGCATGGCTCCTGCACAAGGATGACTCACACAAATCGAGAAAATGTCACCCAAAAAAAAAAGAAAAAAGAAAAAAAAGCGACTAGAAGCATAGCACAGCAGCACCACAAAAGCGAATCCGACTAGGCAGCCTGGACCGAGCTCCCTAGGTTGCCCATGCAAGCCAATAAAAAAAAAGTTAAAAAAGTTTTAAAAACTTTCAATTTTCGAAGATAAAACAACTAGTGGTGGGGCATTTCTGTGCCCACTGAGATTGCGGCTTATCTTTCATAAGCCGCAATCTTTCATAAAGAAGGGAAAAAAAAGGTAGAGACAAAAAAGAGAAGCACACCATACATACACCCACCTTCTAAAGTCGCTGTCACAAGAGAAGACCCCGCTTCAACAGGATCGAAAGCCACCGCAACCAATTGTTGTTCAGGTATTGCTGCTGCATCCTCCACATTTCTCCCACCACCTGGGCCATCATGAGAAATCCCATCGGAACCGTAAGTGGATGACGCTGCCATGGCCATAGGCTCTTGAGGCTGTGAGGGGACCAAAAAGGTGGACAGGCTGGACAGCACCACACACTGGATGGGAGGGCCAGTTCTCTGCTCAGATGCACCTGCCTGAAGGGATTGACCACATTGGGAAGCAGGATCCTGCCAGGCCTGCAGGTAATAAGAAAGCTTCAACCGGAAACTGCCTGGGCCCACACTGGTACGCGCCCTCTCGTCCTCTATCAACGGTACCAACTCCATTACAATAACTGTTGCAGGCTGGTTAGCTGGGAGCGCAGCCACAAGAACGCTTCCCGCCCTCGTCACGATCACATCTGCGCCTGTCAGCCCCCCGGACCCTGTTACGAGCGCCGTAAGCTGAGTGGAACACCAAGGATCGCCAAAGGCAGGCGGTGGCCATCGGCGCCAATGCAGCTGCAAGAACCCGGATGCGGTTACGGCACAAAAACAGAGGAAACCTGCCCTCGGCCAGCGGCCTGCAAGATGGTGAAATGGTCATTGGTTGGCAAATGCAAAATGACAAGAAAGATCAAGGGAGTTAGGCGAAAACAACGCAACAAAAACAGACGAAAGCGGCGCTCAGTTCCCAACCTTAAATTCTGAAAAAAACTACATCTGCAATGTGCCCAGTCGTGATAATCAGTCGTCACTCGCAAAGACAAAATAGACGAACACTGCTGATAAATCATAATAATAATGATCCCAAAATGAGAGAGAATGCATACACAGACGAGAGAGGGAGGAGGGAGAATAGACTTTGAGAGGGTGGAAGAGTCTCCTCCCTACAGCCCACTTCCTCTTCGGGCACTTCCTCCTCCTAGCAGCATAATCGTGTTTCAATCAGAGATCCGGACATCCAAGACACTGTAGACCAATAGTGCCACGTAGCACCAGCAGACCAGTCATCAAGCAGCAACGTGACGACGAAGTTGAAGACACCAGGTATGTATCACGACCCAAACCACAGTCCTGRATCCTTCTTCCGAATACTTGTCAAGCAGAACAGCAATATAGGCGCCCAGCGCCTTCCATCTCAGCAGCAATACTACGTGGCAGCAGTCACGAAGATAACACGTGGCATCTGCCACGTCGACAACCCCTCAGACTGTAGTGCGCCAGCCAGCATGCTGGTCGCACAGCACACTCAAACCACGAACCAGCGACGAGCGCTGGTCGTCAAGTTCTCCGCAGCGTCTCGCCAGCAAGACAGCATAGAGCCGGCATTGACGCGAGAGCGTCGAGTCCCCATAGACTCCAGACGAGAGTCTAGATGTCAAAGCCAGGAAATCAGCCCAATATGTAGTGTTGACGGCGGGGTCTGGGCCCCAGTCCTCAAGTCAGACACGGCCGAGATCGATTGTCGTCGACGGCCCGGATTGGGTTGAAACTGTATCCTCCTTGGTCCACCGTTCTGACTGGGTACCTGCACTCATACAAGTCGATGCACACGACCAAGGGCCTGGGCGAGGTTCCTGGACCTACAGTTTACTTTGACCTTTGAATTTCTTGCTGTGCGCGGTCACACAGTCACCCGCAGCGGCCTGAGGCCGAGCAGCGCATGGTCGCACTGCTCGCTGGGCCTGGGCTTGGGTTACAGCGCCCAGGCCGCTGCTGAACGCGGTTTACTGCACATCACTATGGATATAGAATAATAGAACTTATAATAGAAAGTATATTCGAAAAACAGACGAAAGCGGCGCTCAGTTCCCAACCTTAAAAAGTTAAAAAAAAAGTTTTCAACTACGATCAAACTCCATCACTACCGTCTTCGCCCGCATAGAACGCCCGGTCATTATACCTGTATTTGGGGCACCTTTCAGTCTAGGTACAGCACCGATGACCAGGCATTCTCTTTGGGTGACGACGGTAGCTATGGAAACAGACGAAAGCGGCCCTCAGTCGGCGACCTTCAAGACAGCACGCTGGATAGACTGCCGACAAAACTTCAGAAATTGATTGGACAGCGGACGGCAACAAGGAACAACAACTTCAAAGTTCAAACACAAGTAACAGGGATGCCATGCATTGATCCATCCACAAGCAGTCTGGACGAGGAGCTGGTAAAATGATGCACTTTTTCTGCGATTGGACGAGGGAAGGAAAAAACTTTTAAACAAGTAAGGGTACTTTTCGCGAAGTTTTCGGCGCTTTCGCGACTTGAACTTTGCATTCACTTGCATCAATTCACAAAAGCACAACCATTATTTGCAAGGAAGTTGAAGGAACTCATAAATGGCGTACATTTTGCGCAGCTCATGAAATTGGTTTGAGCCATTAGAGGCCGAAAGGAGAGGGAGCGTAAAGGAAGAAACTTTAAAAAGAGTTAAAAAGATGTATGATTCAAAAAAAGATGGCACGGATCGACAGGTTGCCACACTGTAGGAGACAGCTTGTGAAAGAGCCCTTCCTTGCAAGCGTTCAGAAAAACTCAATCAACCATTTTATGATTTACCATTTTATCGTGGAAGCTCAAACACACAAGCTTTCGGTGCTCCTGTTTCTACTTAGTGTTTGCGGGAAAGTAAGATAGGACCACCAACTACAGGTCATTACCCTGCACGGCGTGCACGGGTTATAGTTTCTGTTTGCAAGACGCTAGGATAGGACATCAACAACAACAGGCCATTATCCCCGATCAGCGCAAGCATAATAGATTATACTGCTATCAAGGGGCCTCTCAAGCCTGCCTGCGAGCCAACCTCACAAAGAGATACTATGTATCTAGACCAGCAGGCAGCAGCATGGTCTTCCGAAAGCTCCTTGGCATAGCACCTGCCAGGTATGTAGTCTCCCTACTGCAGACCACCCCTTTGACACTTTGACACTTCTCTCTTCCCTCTGGTACGCATGCAGACCTCCATGGAAACACCGCTCCACTCCCAAATGGCTTTTCAACACGGGCTATGCAACATTGAGAGAGAGAGAGAGAGAGAGAGAGAGAGAGAGAGAGAGAGAGAGAGAGAGAGAGAGAACACCTGTCACTCTGCTCTGATGAAGGTGGACGGTGAGACAAAAGAGGCAACGAAAAGAAATAAACAGATGACAGTGAGAGCAAAGGAGCGAACGGGATCTATTACCTCCCTCTTGTTTGTTAGGCTTTGTTTCCACTGTGATGGCCATTCTCTCTCTCTCTCTCTCCCTCTCTCTCTCTCTCTCTCTCTCTCTCTCTCTCTCTCTCTCTCTCTC